CCTCAAATCATCATAAGGAGGTCCCGGCACTTTCATACTAGCACTAATTTTGATTCAAAACTGTCAAAAATCTAAAATCTAGAATGATTCATATTAATTTTTTTGAGAAATGTACAATTACTCCTTAATGTGAGAGATCGGCTGTTTCGTCAAAAATGTTGAGGTGACATACGCTGTTTTTTTAAAAAAAAAACCATAACTGAGGTAATAGAAAGTCCTTATTTCGAAAAGTAGACCATAGGTGAAGGAGAAACTCGTCTAAATGCACCGCTTTAGTCAGATACTTTGCGTCCTTTTAAAGGCTTTTTGGAGGGCTTCTTGCACCCTCTTTAAACTCTCCGCAAATTGCCATATGATGTGTTAGGTGGTTAATTTGTGCATATTATCACTTAAGAAGAAGTACTGATTGTAAAATATTTTTAAAACTCGGCGATATCTGGTGATAAATAGTTTTGGCCAGCTTTTCAGGTCCAATACCACAGTGTGTGACGCTGCGCTGTGCTGAACGGTTCAGCCTGAACCTTTCCCCTACGTCTGACCGTTCCCCACTCCTCTGTCAATCGAACCATATGCCACCGCTTACGTATTGTCGCTCGCCCACCCAGGTACCTAGCGGCCAGCGGTCAGTTGATGATAAATCTCGCTCATGCTCCTATGCAGCTTCGCATTGATTACGCCAGCTAATTACTTTCTAATAATTAGAATTTCTTCGATAATAGTTTTCTTTATTTATTCGACTGTATTTTTTCTCTGTTCTACTGTGATTTCCTTGGTTCTCTACTGTGTTTTTCCTAAATCTCTAAGTCAGAAATCTGAAGCACTTCGGTACGCACCGAGTACTTCAGATGTGTGACCTGAAATCTTCGATATACACCGAACTACTTCAATTGTCTGACCCGAACTTTGGCAGATGGACCTTAACTTTTCAGATGCTTGATCCGAAAACTTCAGAGATCCATATGATCTCAGCTTCGGGTTCCATGCACAATTTTTTTTCTCTGTGTTTCCTTTTAAGGGACGCAACTAAAATTGCAGTAAATTTTTTTCAGAAAAGTAAAGAAAAAAAAGGGGGGAAAAAAAAATGGCTAACGATGGTTCCTTACCTTCACGTGGTGTTGGCTGTTTTTACTAAGTGGGAACCGTCCATTTTAATATAGTCTATTTCTTGCCCTGTCATTATTATTCTGCAAGTTAATTGTGGAGTGAGAATTTCATAATGTTTTCTATGAAATCTTCAAAATATAGTGATAAAAAATTTGCAACTACTACAAAATCGGCTCGCGTAGCGAGTGACCGAAGGTCCAGGAGGCGTAGCCCCCGGCTAGGCGTGACGGGCGCGCGAAGCGCGCCCAGAACGGCTAGTATACATATACAATCGGTAGACCATCAAAAAGTGGATGATTTCAGAGTTTTTCGAACTTTGGTAGTGAAAGTGGCCAAAGGAACCGGGCATTATTACTATACAGTGACTTAGTAGCAAATCGAGAGGAGAACTAATATTTTGAATTTGAAATAGAAACTTTATTAAATGATAAACAAAAATACCAAACTGTGAAGCACACGTATTAATAAGAAGAAATATTTTGAAAATGTTAAGAGTATTACAAAACCCTAAAACTGAGTTCGGAAATCGACAAAGAGGAACAAGGAAAGAAAATTACATTTATCCAGTGACATAAGATAGTAAATTTTTTAAATCATTAATCTTCTAATCTTCACAATTTTGATGAGCCAAGGCGTAATATATGCTTCAAAGCCGGCAGCAGAACTTAAACAGACAACAAAACTATAAAATGAAAATTGTCAAAATCTGTTCGCACTGGGGGAAAAAAATACCTGGAAGGAAACTTTATTTTTTCAGGACAATTCTATTCTAATTAACAGGCAATTCTAAAAAGTTTAAAATTTAGCGGAAAATTGACGAGAAACAATTTATTTGGTGAGGCTGTCTCTCTCACAAAAAGTGACTTCACGACAGTCCTAGGGAAATTGATGACAAGGAGACGTCACGTAGTTTCCCTAATAATGCAAGATTTAAAGGTTTCTCCATGAGGAAAAATAAGTATAAAACTAAATAAAAAAAAAAAATCGGGAATATTTTTCTGGTTCTCTAGACAAAAAATAAGTTTTTAAAGTCAGAGGCCTTCTATTTCGAATCCATCTTGTTTTTCTTTCTAACTATGAAAAGCATATTTATTTGTTGTATATACAGTGAAACGGTATTTTGCACTGACGATAGTCTTTACAAATGTAAATTTTGGAGAGTGTGATGATTTACTCGTTAGGGCTGACCCGCACTGGCACGTCTGAGTTTCAAAATATCTACCGTGCTCAAGCAACCGACGATCTCCTCCACGATTTCGTCCGGCAGCCGGTGGAATCCCCGCGACAGGAGCTTCAGGCTTTCGACGCCCTCTCTCTGCAACCATCTTCGGTGTCTCCCTTTCCGGAAGTGATTGTTCAAAATGCCCCCATAGATAGGGTACCGTTTTTTGATGGCATCCGGCCCGATCGCTCGGGACACAGCCGGGTTCTTCAAGAGCCGGTACAGGTGGTAATCGCTCCGCGCCAGGGCGTCGCGCATCGACACGTCGGTACCGCTGAACTTGTGTCTCTTCATCGAAGCGACTTCCGCGTCGCATTCCTCCCTGAATCTCGCCATGTGGCTTCTACAGTATTTCCAATGATCTTCAACATTGAAATTCCTCAAGTCGGTGAGGCCGTGCAAGGCCATAACTTTGACCACGTGGTCTCCGATATATCTGAGCCTCAACTGCCCATATGTTCTGAAGAGAGGGAGGTCTAACTGATTCGCCAGCAGCTCAGGATCAATGAGGCCGCACTCTAGGAGGAGCTGCAATTTTTTGAAGGGGGAGACAGGGTAAAATTTTTTAAAGTGACTGAAGTCAACTTGAGCACCGTAGTCGAGCAATATATCGATCGACTCCAAGCCACACGCACCAAGAAGCGGGGAGAAGCCGTCGCGGTCATACACATTCACTTCAGCGCCCTTCTCGAGAAGTACCTTCACAAGAGAGACAGAGCCTTCGATGGCGGCCAGGTGCAATGCTGTTCTACCAAATTCCGATTTACCGTTAATCTCGGCACCATTCTCAAGCGCCATCCGCATTAGGACCTCCTGCCGCCTGGAGGTTGCCAGGTGCAGAATGCCACCGGTGTCAGAATGTCTCAACCGGAAGCTGCGAGCGACGAGGCGGCGGAAGGCTTTGCGGTTGGAATCGTCGACGGCAGGGCGCATGTCGCTTGCCTTCCAGACCTCGCTCGAAAATGTGACGGTGGTGTAACAGATCAGACGGGAGTGGAGGGGTAGGAGACTGGTATGTTCATGGTCCGTGCTTATGGAGAGTGGGTCCACGCTGGCCGACGGGCTATCGTCGAGGAAGATCTCGTAGACGAAGTCAATTTCCTCATCAGTGGCGGGGAGACGTGGCACATCGCGATTTCGTACGACGAGGAGACTGTTCTTGTCGAAGAGTTGAACCAACTTCGGGTGCTGTTCGACGAACTCCGAGGCCAGGAGAACGTACCCCTTGACGCTGTTAGCTTTCTGAGCGAAGTTCCGTGTCCCTCTGGTCGTGCACGAGTGTCTGCGGCTTCCAGAGCCCTTCCAGACATCCTGCTTGGGCAAGAATATTAGGCACTCGGCTCTTTTGTAAGCCATGCTCCGCTGAAACACAAAGAAAATCACTATATTGTAGCATACTGCACAATTAATCCACTGGAAAAAAAACAAGCAGAAAAATCCAACATGAATATGTTGGAAAAGCGTGCCGAATAACTAAAATGTTGGACACATACCTACTATTTTCACGTCTTTGTTATTTGCATCAATTGGTACTTTTTGCTAAATTTGGGAGAAAATATTGATTCATGAACGTTGAATGTAAATTGATTTTAAAGATTCCGTCCAATTATCTTGATTTTAAGCTGATATGCGGCATTTCGCACGACCGTGATTTGGGCGAACTGCCGTGCATCGAAATCGCGTTGAGTTAATCTCTTTGGATTTCGAACTGTAACTTCTCTCCTATTCGGCCGATTTTTACAAACGAGGTCTCTTTTATTTGTACTTTAACGGAAAGTAAGGAAAAACTCGCTAAATAGACGGAAAACAATTTTTGTGAAAATTTGGTGGATCCTGGCGTCACGGTGAATGGTTAATCGGGCGTGGAAGATAATAGGTTCGACGAGGTGACCCTCTCCTCGCCGTCTTTTATTGCCTTGCTCGAAACCTGACACCCAAAGCTATATCGGGAGATAACTGCAGTGGTTTGAGTGGATTTCTGCAGGGGCCACGGTTAGTACATGGTATAAAGAGTCACGAGGCTCATCACAGATTGCACTTGCAGTGCAAGACGCTCATTGGCTAAACAGTTTTGGCGGGAAAGAAGGTTCTAGAGTTGAGTCCTCCGAGCGTAAGAAAGCTTCTATGAGGTTTTTGTCAAATGAAATAATACGGTTTTGACAGGAAAATGTTCTCAAGGGTTCCCAATTAGCAGTTCATTCGGTTTTTTGGTAAGAGACCATCAGGGCTCGACAGTATAATGGTTCAAAGACAAGAAAACGGGTCCGAGGGAAAAAATATTTGGACGGCCCGTTGAATAGCATTGGTTGATCGGTGTGCTGTACTATGGTACATCCGAGTGATTTCAAAAAGCGAGCCCTACTGGCACGCTTAAAAAACAAAAAAAAAACATTGGATCTGGAGCCCAGACTCTTGAAAATATTGACAAGAAAAAATTCGCTTGATTCAATCGGATTTTTGCTTGAATCAGAACGAAATCCGCTTAAATTGAGAGGCTTGGTTCTTGATTTAAGCTAGATTCTGATTGAATCAAGAGTACTTTTTCTTGTGGATGTTTTTGAGAGTCTGGACTCTAGATCCGATGTGTTTTTTTTTCCAGTGTCGTTTATTATTACAGCAGCTTTTAGAATATCGTTCGCTCTGAGAAAGACTGTCAGAGTATCTCACATGGTTGGTCATTACGGATGCGCGGTATCTGAGGCTCGAAAAACAAAAGAAAAATCAAATGGCCCTTATTTCCTTACGCCGTTCATTCCAAGCTCCTAGTAACGCTGGTCGGAATAATTGAGTTGCATTTTACAAAAAAGAACCAGGAGCGTTGCAGCGTTGCCAAGATTCTTGGCAACTAGAAGAACTTCTTGTCTTGGAAGAGAAACTTGATTATCCATTGACAGTTTCTATTTTACTCGCTAAGAACTGAAGTAAAAAAAACATTACCATGTTAACTTCATATTTTGTCATAATTTCAGTTATTTTATTGCATAGGATGGAGATTGGAGATGCACAATCTTAGCATCATTGCAATATACTTCTGGTTCCTTTTTGGAAATGCAATCAAATTTCGGGAACGCAACAGTTTTTTTTCTGGTATTTTTGGCGCGTATACGTGGTATACCTATACTTTGCGATCGTTTCGACCCCCTACTCGATACCGCATGTATCGAGTGCCTGAGTTGCTTGCCGAAAAGTAGCTGGCGGGCTCGCTCTGAATCTTTGAGAGCTTGTAAAAAAGTTACTAATGTTTCAATCTTTTATGTTGATGGATTTTTTATTTTCTGGGTATTTTCTTATTGTAAATCCTAAAGATGAACAGGTTACGATATTTAGTTTATTTTTAATACTTATAAATCCGTGCCCCGCTGCTTTAAAATATGATAGCAGTCAGCTGATCAGAATTTGTTGATGTTTTGATAATGATTAATAATAACTTGATCAGCTATTTCTATCCAATAATCACGCACACTTTTTTGCTTTTAACCTTTTCACTTGTTCAATGAGCTTGTTTCAAACTTTTGCTAGATCAAAAATAAGAGTTGTTTCACAGAGATAATGTCTCGGAAATCACGATGAGCGCATCGGCAAACTCTAAAATGCACTCCTTAATTCACATTCTGCATTTTTTTAAGCTTCCGCTTAAAAAGGATACTACCGCACAGGTGAACATTTTGTTAGAGGAGTCATTCCATTCTATCCCTGCTCAACATGGCTGACGCTTCCGCGCGCAAGTTCAGGAGAGCACGAGGTCAATCAAGGCGGATACCTATCAACGCGAGAAAAATGTGAATGTAAATAAACACGCAGATTGTTACCAGGTGGTTAAAATCATCGTCCCGTCACATGTGTTTTGGCGGATTGACGTCGGCTATGTTCAATATTGCGCAGTATCCTTGTGAGCAGGGATGGAATGGGACGACTCCTCTAACGAAATGTTCGCCTGTGCTGTAGTATCCTTTATGAAGCAGGAAGCTCAAAAAAACGCAAATTTCTTACGCAGATTGTGAAGTTAGGAGTGCATTTCAGAGTTTACCAATGCGCTCATCGTGATTTTTGAGACATTATCTTTGAGGAACAACTGTCACTGAAAGAAAAGGTAGGAGTTAAGTCCCAACTGTTGGATGGTATGGACATTTCCAATTAATTGTGGTTCTTCCCCAACTGACTGGTAGTACCCCAATAAATTAGGCTACCAACCCAAATGTTGCGGTGCTACCCCAACTTGAGTTGCGATACTACCAAAATCAATTAGAAATGTCCATATCATCCAACAAATTGGGGTAGTACCACAATTTCAGGGGATAACCCCTCACACTTTTTTTCGGCGCTTATTTTTGCGTTACCAAAAGTTTGCACCAGGCCCATTCTCTACATGACGATTCTCAGTCATACAAATGCCTTTTTAATGCGTCCATCGATATTTTCGAGTAATTTCTTCAATTAATTACCCTCTTTCAGCCGCAGCAAAAGTTCGCAACAGGTCCACTCGTGCTCTGTTTATTGGCCCCGTGTAAAGTGATCAATACTCGTATGAACAAAGCACGAATCGAGAAGGGAAAGCTTTCAACGCCGCGCGTTTTGCTCCTCGCCCGGCGGCGACAGCGGCGAGCAGCTGTAAATGAAAAGTGACAAACACCGCAGCCAGAAAAAGCGCAGTTCTCACCGGGAGGGAAGAAATCGTGGGGCGGGGGGTGGCTGATCAATTCGCAGCCGTTTTCCGACTTCAAAGCGCGACGGAGATCGAAACGCATGTGGCCGGAGGTGGCCTCACCGGGGTCGGGGATGATGTCCCTTTTGTTGCGTTCGCTAATTACCACTTGTCCGCAGAGCAAACATTTTTCGACGGCGACTGGCTTTATCACTCCCGCGGGGGCGCCTCGACGCTTGGCGATGAGTCACCGCTCAAAGCCCGCGCTTGTACCGTCGCCGACGCTTCCAGCTTTCGTCGGATGGCTCGTTATCTTGTCCGCGCATTTTTTCAGTCGTAAATGGATGGAGTTCAGGTCAGCAGCCTGATTGTTGAAATTTTGTGGTTGTCGGATAGACATAGATGACATAGGTTAAAAGGCGGAGCATGATTGGTCGTTTATGTCTCATCACTGCTTTATTGTGCCTTTGTCAGGTGGAATGGACGACATACTGTCGGAAATTTAAGAGGTGCCTTTAACTTGTCGAGAGTTCCACCCGACATGGGCACGATAAAGCAGCGATAAAACATAGCCGACCAATCACGCTCCGCCTTTTAATCTATGTCACCTATGTCTACCGGATAAACACAAAATTTCAACAATCAGGCTGCAGGTGAATCGGAAACATATAGATATCGGATTGGAGATGTTGCATGTGTGAGGAATTTGCGATCTGACTGTTGATTCTTATGTAAAAGTTCGCAAGAAACACGACGGTGCCACTAGTTTTCTCTGAAATCAACTCCCAAGCTCAAAAAAAGCTCTCAAGTTGAGGCCAAAATGGAGGGGATTCCCCGCGCTATCCTGAGAGTCCACCTCCACATCAAGACAAACTCTCCATGCAAAGATAGGGAGCAAATACATTGACAGGGTTGCCGTGTTTTCAATTTTAGAGTCCCCAAATAAAGTGGCAGCCCTGTCAATGTATTTGCTCCCTATCTTTGCATGGAGAGTTAGTCTTGATGTGGAGGTGGACTCTCAGGATAGCGTGGGGAATCCCCTCCATTTTGGCCTCAACTTGAGAGCTTTTTTTGAGCTTGGGAGTTGATTTCAGAGAAAACCAGTGGCACCGTCGTGTTTCTTGCGAACTTTTACATAAGAATCAACAGTCAAATCGCAAATTCCTCACACATGCAACATCTCCACTATGACATCCAGGCCCTCCGCTTCTTGGACAACGCTGAGCGCCCTCTCCTCATTGGCTGGTCCCGGGGCGCGTCGGTTGGTCTCTCTCTACGTGCCACTGGCCAATGGGCAGCGGGCGCTCTGCGTTGCCTGAGGAGAAAGGAGGCCTGGCCGGCAATCTTTGCTAGTACAGCCGTGCCAATGAAGAACGCCGTATGAACATTCGTGAGTTGCCAAATGTCCTTCGATAAAATATTTATTTCTACGGAAAGTCATGAATATTGTTCCTTAGAATTTTCAGGAACTTCAGGTGAAATTACGCACTTTATCTGAAAAATTGAAACGAAAATTTTCACAAGTTTACCGGGAAATTCGTGTTTTATTAAAGGAAATTTGGCAACGCCTGAAGGTTCATACGCCGTTTTTCGTTAGGACGGCAGACGGCAGAGTAGAGGTGTCGTCGCAAGAGTCCAATAGCGATCGAGGATTGACCGCGGCCCGATCGTGAGCGTACATGGCCAATCCTCGATCTCCATTGGACGATTGCATCGCGAT